GAGAAATTCAAATGGCTGCAAAGTACAACCAAGAGAATATGCCCGACTACTTGTTAGGAAATTATACGCGTGAATGACAAGTCACTTTAGCAAGGCTGAGCAAATCCAGAAAATGGGGGAGCAAAAGAGATTGGACGAACGAAGAACCTTGACTCCCTAGAAATAATAAATTACCCCCCGTTCTTTTTTAAAAGTATCCCTTGTCTGAAATTCAAGTATGTGAGTACAACTCATCTCGAAGACGAGTAATTCAATGGTGCAAAGTAGCACGTTCAAGTCCGACTTAGTAACCGTTTAGTATAAGTGGAAATGTATTCGGCGTGTGAAATGAAATTCGAGGCCCAAATCAGAAAATTGGGGGCAAAAAAACGGAAACAAACTCTTCTCTAAAATCGGAAGTAATTCTTTCTGAAATCAAACGTATGTAAATACAACTCTGCGGGGTGACGACCAGAAATTTCAATTGGTGGCAAAGGTACAACCGCAAGAACGTATCATATCCGACCGATTTGTTAGGAAATTCTAATACGCGGTAAAAAAGCTTATAATCAAGGACTGCCAGGTTGAGGGGGGAATAGAGACGTATACCTCAAAGATCCCGAAAATGGGGCTGAATAAAAATTTGGAAAAAAGCGATTAAAAATCGGAAGTATATTTTGAAGGTATCGCCGTATGTAAGTAACAACACTCGATGAGAATATTCAATGGTGCAAAGTACACAACTAATGCGTCAATCTCCGACTAATTGTTAGGATCAAGTATAGCGCGTGAATGAAATTAGGCGGCAGGCGCACTAATGCCTGAAACATGGGCGAAAATTGGAAAAAACACTAAAATCGGGAAGAAGTCCTTAGTGAAATCACGGTATGTAAGTACAACTCTGCGACGAAGGAAAATTCAATGGTGGCAAAGTACACCTTGTCAACTTCGACTCTTTGTTAGGCCAAAATTATTACGCGTGAAATGAAAGTAGGTCGCAATTCTCCCCGCGGATAATTAGAGGGCAAAAAATTAAGAAAAAACACAACATAAATCAAGGGGATGTACTCCCTACTGGGAAATCACTCACTGTAAGTACAGGCTCTCGACGAAAACATTTCAATGGTGCAAAGTACACGGTCAATCTGACTATTGTTTAGAAATTATACGCGTGAAATGAAATTAGGACCAAAATTCCAGAAAAATGGGCAAAAAATTGGAAAAAGCCTAAATCGAAGTAATAATTTTTGAAATCACATATTGGTTAAAAAAAAAGTTTACAACACTCGACGAAAAATTCAATGGAGCAAAGTACACGTGAATTCGAAAACTATTTGTTAGGAAATTCATACGCGTGAAATGAAATTAGGCCCAAAACCCGAAAATGGGGAAAAAATTGGAAAAAAACCTAAAATCTAAGTTATCCTTCTGAAATCACGCTATGTAAGTACAATCTTGACGAAGATTAAACGGTGCCAAGAAGACGTCAATCCGACATTTGTTAGGGAAATTATACGCGTGAAAATTAAATTAGGTCCAAATCCCGAAAATGGGGCAAAAAAATTGGAACAAACTAAAATCGAAGTATCGTTCTGAAATCAACGTATGTAAGTACAACTCTCGACGAAAAATTGCCCAATGGTGCAAAGTACCCGTCAATAACTGACTATTTGTAAGGAAATGTATATGCGTGAAATGATTAAGGCCGGCAATAATCCAGAAATGGGGCAAAAAAATTGGAAAAAAACCTATATTCTAAGTATCCTTCTGAAATCACGTATGTGAGACAACTCTCGACGAGTAATTCAATGTGCAAAGTACACGTCACATCCGACTCATTAGTTAGGAAATTTATTCGCGTGAAATGAAATTGAAGGCCCAAATGCCAGAAATTGGGCAAAAACGGAAAAAAACCTTAAAAATCGGGAAGTATTCTCTGAAATCAACGTTTTTTTATGAAAATACAACTCTCGAACCGAGAAATCATGTTGCAAAGTACACGTCAATCCGACCCATTTGTTAGGAATTATAACGCGTAAAATTAAATTAGGCCAAATCCCGAAAAATGGGGCAAAAAATTGGAAAAAAGCGTAAATCGAAGTATAATTTTAAAGTCCACGATGTAAGTACA